CAAAAAAAAATGTATATGATAATTTTTTTAAAAAAAAATAATAAAAAATCGTATGATTATATGGGAAAGATTTTTATCGTGTAATTATAATTTAAAACATGGTAATTTTGAAAAAAACTTATATCATAATTTATAAAAAAAAATGTAATATAATATGATTATATCATAAATAATAGTATTATATTTAAATGATAAACTACCATTAAAGATAAATTTGATAATATTTATGATAAAAACTAAAAATTATTCATTAATCATAATTAAATTAAACTTTGTCATACCCATCATTATAAATTGACGCATCATATGACACCAACAAAAATTCGTATTAATACAAAACCACATAAAGAGAATTTTGTATAAGTAATTTTGTGTCGTTTTAGGTAATTCTTATTTTAATTTTAAAAATCCGTTTAAATTTACGTTTGTAATCACTACTTAAATTTTATTTTTGTTGGGATACTTAATGCTTATGTGCTTATGTTTTGATTACTGAATTTTGTTTTACATGCTGATGTAAGCAAAAATAATTGGAAAAATCAAAGTACGACGAATTTCTTGCCTGTTTGACATACTAAACTTCAGCCAAAAAAAAAAGTAGCTTAATAAGTTTGGATATAGTGCTACTGGACAAGGAGGTACTTTTATAGATGGTTCACATTTATTATAAAATTTTATAAGCCTCTTTATTTTTTAATTAATTTAATTTTTTTGGTTAAATTATAGTAGTGGTTGAGAATTTAAATCATTAACTAATCTTATGAATATATTAAAACAGAATTTTATAAAATATTATTAAAAAAATTTATCCTAAAGAAAATTAAAAAAATAATCTGAATCATGAATACAAATTTAAATTGAAAAAATAAAGATAAATTTAAAAGAAAATCACAATAAAAAAAGTATATATCTAAAGTACGTAAAGTTACAATTAGAAAAACATACTTCGTAATCTTATAGATTATTTATTTATTTTTTTTAAAGAAAATGAGATTAGATTATAAAAGAATGATAAATTTAGTTTAAAAAGATATGATTTTTTTTTAAAATAATTTAGTTTAAAAAGATATGATTTTTTAAAAAAATAATTTTCTAATTAAAGGTAGCTATTTATAAGATATATAGTAAAGTAAAATTAAAAAAAAAAAATAGAAATATACAAAAATATTAGATAAAAACCCGTGCATCGCACGGACTAACATCTAGTATAAGAATATAGAAGTATATTTTTTTAAGAATATTGATTCTTATCTTATAATCTTAGTTTTGTATAAATACTCTACCTATTTGTTATTTGTTGAATATAATCAAGTCATTCTATTTACTCTTTACCCTAATCAAATATAAATGCAAATGTGATTTAGGCCGTTAAGTGAAAATATTTTTACTTAACTAAATTATTTAGCCCCATTCAAAGAAAATCCCGAATCATAGGTGTCAGAGTTACCCCATAAGGCGGTGGGGGCAGAGTGCACCTATTTATTAGGCAAGCATATAGGAGGGCAATTTGTGGTTTATATTATACAAACATTTTTTGTGTAAAATTATGCATGTTTAATATACCATTAAAGTATAAATTGTCTTAACAATAATAATACTTTTTGCCTATTACTCCCTTCGTTTTTAAATACTTGCTCCACTTTCCTTTTCCGGCCGTTTTTAAATACTTGCTCCATTTCCTTATTTGGAAAGCTTTTACAATATTTAATTAATTTCTCCCAACAAGTGGACCCAACAATATTAATTCCATATTCTCTATCTTTTAATTTTCTCCACTACTTTTGGTTTTTTTAACAATTTTTTATTCTTCCACCAACGTCACTACCTCCATATTTTATTACTTTCTCCAATTTCTCCTAAAACTCCGTGCATGGAGAAATGGAGTAGTATTTAAAAACCGTGGGAGTATATATGTAGTGATACTTTTTGTCATCCTATAGATTGAATATTTCCCCCAAAATACCTATCATGTATCACCTATTATGTATGCAGTGATACCTTTTTCCATTCTATTTATTTGCTAACAAATAGCTGCTATGCGCTAAGGGTTAATCGAGGGTGCATGAAATAAGAAAACACATAAGATTCAAGGGTTGATACTATAAAATTAATACAATGTATCAATTTCTTTGAGCTGATTATTTATAGAATTCAACTCAATCTCATACTCCTTACGTTTTTAAATACTTGATCCACTTTCCTTTTCCGACTGTTTAAAAATTCTTGATTCATTGAAAGCTTTTCCAATGTTTAATTAAATTCTCTCACCTAGTGGACCCAACTATATTAGAGCATGGGCATTGGTGAGTCACAAGCCTACTCACAACACTATCTCTCTTCTTCTGAGCTACCTTACCATTGCATACGGTGACTCGTTACATACTCACAAAGAGGGGAAGCAACGTTTGCTGATGCTCTGATGAGTAACTGACATATGCATGGGCTTTGCTGACTCTTTTATAAAGGAATCTCATATTTATTTGTTGGTCCAATTACCACATGACAACTCATCCAAATTGCTGAACATTTGCATGAGATGTTGTTTTAGTCCAACAGCTCTCCAACGGCTCTATTATTTGGAGCACTTTCGTGTTGATATTATTACTCTAACGGTAATTTTTCACTTCATTTAAACATATTTCCAAAAAATAATTTCACCAACGGTATAATTATAATTTTTCACCCTTAAAATTTCACTCTTCTTTTTTTCATTATAAAAATATTTTGTGATTATGGATCTTAATAATCCTAATTACGGAAGTGGTTCCTCTCAAAATAATCCAAATAACCAATCTTCCAATTCTCCAAATTTTCAAAGTAATTTTCATTTTGATCCAAATAACCCTAATAATCCAAATGCTAAAAGGATGTTATTTTAAAAAATTCCTAACCAACCAACGCATCCAAACCAACAATTTGTACAACAATTCCCAAAGCAAAATTACACCCAACAATTCTCAAACCAATTTTTAAACCAAAATTTGCAACAAATTCCCCAAAATTATCCTTCTAGTTTTATGTTCCCAATGTCGTAACATTATGGTGTGAACCAAATAATTCAAAACAGTCCAGCAACTCCCGAGGGAGAAAGAAGTAGTAACTTAACCCCACCCGATGATCCAAGGGTTCCACAACAAGCCAATGATGATGCTGATGGTGTTGGTGATGATGATGTTGTTCAAGGTCCCCACGAGAGCAACACTAATGTTAGGGAAGAAAAATCGGGTGCAAAAGAAGATGATGCCCTAGTTTCGGCTTGGGTAGAATGTGCAGTTGAAGATCCAGAGACGGCAACTGATCAAAGTTTGGCCGTAATGTGGAGGAACATAAAATCCCTTTATGATCAAGCCAGAGAAGAAAATCCATCCACCATGCGCCCTAGAACTTTAAGATCTATTAAAAGTCGGTGGGAAAGAATAAATAAAGATGTGAGTATATGGGTTGGTTGCTATAGTGAAGCGAAAAAAAGGTATAGGAGTGGTACCAACACTCATGATGAAATGACTGAAACTCATGAAATATATAGAGGTACGTGTAATGGTTCACGCTTTGGTTTAATTGGTTGTTGGGAGATGTTGAGAGAGTTAGACAAATGGAAGCCAATGGACCTGGATTTACCTTCTAGTGATGGTGGCAATTCGAAAAGATCAGAACCAGATACTCCAACTGATGAAGGTCCAAAAACTCATACTCGTCGCCGTCGTCCTGACGGGGTGAAAGCATCTAAAAGAAAAGGTAAATCTGTTGTCAATTCTGGAATTCAAATTGGGGGTAGTTCTGAAATTAAAAATTTAGAGTCGTTTACTCAAGCCCTATCAGAGATGAATGTAATGAAAGGTCAACACAAAGATGTTGATGAAAGGCAAATTGATGTAGCAGAACGTATGCTAGAGTATCAGAAGGAGCGAGATGCCATCAAAGCTCGCAAGAAACAAGAAGAAAAAAGGTTCAAGCTATTTAGTGTCCTTCTTGCAAAACCAATTCTATCTGAAGAAGAAAAAGAAATATATCTAAAATTAAAGCAAGAATTTGCACATCTTCTAGGCTAGTTTAAATATCAATAATAATATAAAATTAGCTCATTAATGAGAAATGTTGTAAAATATGACCGACATGCAATGCTACATTGAAATGTCACATGTTGACAAGAAATCTGTAAGCAATAATATCAGAGGATCTCATCTTTTACTGTTTTTTGTACCCATACATTGAATTGTCATACAAAAGAAATCTACAAACCTTATCAGAAATGTAATCTTTTTGAGTTGTTTATCCATTCAATGAATTACCAATGTAAAAAATCTGTAAACCTTATCGAAAATCATATCTCATATACTTGTGTGCCCATATCATAATTGTTTCGGGGTTTTCTGATGTCCTGCGGGAGAGTTACAATTCTGAGACTGGAACCGGACGCCTGTACCTGCAAAACAAACGGATGCTCCGGACGATTGGAGATCCGCCTCCGACGGTCAAGTTAGTACTTGATTAAGGAGTAATTAATGCGGAAATAAAAGTAATTGGGTCTCTCTAGGTGAGAGTGTTAAATGTGCGTAATCTCCCTTAATGAGGATTAATGGGCATATTTATATCCTTGGGATGCGTGCCAGTACTAGGTTTAGGTTAAACCTAAGGCTGACTGGGCCTCCCACAATGATTGGGCCTTGTTGGCCGGTTTTCCCATTTGGCATGGGTGGACACGTGTCACATTTCAATTGGTCCAAGGAGGACGAATCTCTTGATGACACGTGGCAGGCTCCTATTGGCCTACATGAAGGACACGTGGCGAAACCTGGCTGGCCCACGTGTCGGATGCTGATTGGTGGATAAAAATCCCCTAATCAATAATAATTACCATCCATTTTTTTGAATAATTTTAGAAGTTATAAATAAGGGGGATACACTTCATATTTCAATACATAAATATAAGTATTATTTCTACAAAAAAAAAAAAAAAAAAAAAAAACTCTCTCTTCCTCTCTACCAAAAAATATTACAAAATGAACTCTGATTCAAATTCTTCTAGTTCATCTAGTTCTGGGTTATTTGATTACATGGTGAACGACTATGTAGAGTGGCATGAATCAATTACCCAAAGGCGAAAAGAAGATGAATTGATCGAGGAAGCGATCAATACAACTGTTGTTCCCTTTGTAACATCAACTTATCAGACCCCTTTCACTCTTGAACCTACGTACCAAAGGTGGTATGTACCAAGAGATCGAGAATATGCTGATATTAGTTATATAACGATTACTTTAGTCCCCAACCATTGTACCCTGCTAATATGTTTCGTCGACGGTTTCGCATGCGTAAGAATGTGTTCACACGCATTGTTAATCAACTAAGCGAAAGTGATGTTTACTTTCAACAAAGGCCGGATGCCACCGGAAGACTAGGTGCATCCCCCCTCCAAAAATGCACTGCAGCAATTCGAATGTTAGCATACGGTACATCTGCCGATGCAGTTGACGAGTATCTTAAAATCGCGTCAAGTACTGCAAGAGAAGGTTTGGCTCACTTTGTTGAAGGGGTCGTAGCTCAATTTGGACCAGAGTACTTGAGGAGGGCAAATACTATGGATACTGAACGGCTCCTCCGTGAAAGTTATGCTCGTGGATTTCCTGGTATGATGGGCAGCATTGATTGCATGCATTGGGAGTGGAAAAACTGTCCGCGTGCATGGAAAGGAATGTATCAAGGTAGAAGTAAAACAACAACGGTGATCTTGGAGGCTGTTGCTTCGCAAGACTTGTGGATATGGCACGCTTTTTTGGAACCTCGGGTTCTTGTAATGATATAAATTCCTCCAACGGTCTCCGGTGTTCTCTGATATATGTGAGGGAAAAGCTCCAGAGGTTACCTTCAATGTTAACGGAAATACATACAATATGGGTTATTATCTTACAGACGGTATCTATCCGAAATGGGTAACATTTATCCCAGCAATCAAACATTCACAAACTGGTAAGCACAAATTATTTACCAAGAAGCAAAAGAGTTATCGAAAGGACGTTGAACATGCCTTTGGAGTGTTACAAGCTCGATTTGCAATAATACGTCAACCAAGTCTAGCATGGTCGACCAAAATTTTATGGAAAATTGTAATGGCTTGTATTATCATGCAAAATATGATTGTTGAAGATGAGCGAGATGGATATTTGCATTATGATGCAACTGAATTTATCAATGATCAACCGCAAAATGTAGCTGAATCATCAACTAGTAACAACAACCAACCATTTACTGTGAGAAGTGGACGATTGGATAGGCTCAATCTAAATGGTTATATGGAAAATAGAAATAATGTTCGTGATAGGGAGACCCATATTTCACTAAAGAATGACTTGGTTGAACATATATGGGGACGTTTCGGCAACGAATGAAGAGATGACAAAAGTCGCTGTTAATGAATATTGTATTTTAAATTTTAATGGATGTTTTTGTTAAATAAACTATGTTATTAATATATTGTATTATTTTTGTACTTTTCATTTCAAAAATTAGAATTTTTTTTTATTAATATTGTACTATTTATAATGCTCTAATTAAAAAGAAAAAAAATTAAAAATGTCTAACTTTTTTTAATTAATTATGTAAGTTCAAAAATTACAAATAAATAATAGAGATTAATACATATTTTTAAAAATATAAAATAAAACAAGAGTGAGAAAGAGAAAATGATGGGGTAGTTAGGAGAGAGAATGGTGAGTAACCTCACCATTGTAGATAAATAAATAAGGTGACTCACACTAGTAGCTTAAGATAGTGGAAGGTGAGGTGGAAGATAATTTGGAAAAAAAATAAATAAAAAAGATAGTTGAAAGTGAGGTGGAGAATGGTGAGTAACCTCACCAATGCCCATGCTCTTAATTCCATATTCTATCTCCTTCAATTTTTCCCCCTACTTTTGGTTTTTTTTACAATATTTTATTTTTCCACCAACCCCACTACCTCCATATTTTATTACTTTCACCAATTTCTCCTAATATGCGCATGGAGAAATACAGCAAGTATTTAAAAACGAAGGGAGTAAAACTATGCCGAGTAAAGTGGTGCACACTTTAAAAAAAAATTGAGGGTTATTTTTCTTGCTTTAAATGTAGTTAAAATTAAATATGATAATTGTAGTTAAATAAAGATATCTTAATGAAAGTTATTTTTTTTACTACCTCCGGTCCAAATTACTCGCAACTTTGAAATATTTTACATCTCACAAATAATACCTTAAAGTTGCGAGTAATTTGGACCGGAGGTAGTATATAGTAATAATTCATACATAGTATTAAAGTTATCAAAATTGAGATTCCACTTTGAATTGTAAGGGAATTTGATATATATATGTGTTACAGATAATAGTAGTCATTATATTCAAACGTTTTTATTTCTCACATAAGAAGGTTTTTTCTTTTGTAAGCTTAGAATATTTTGATTATCCAATTTTATTTTAACAACAATTATTTTTACAATCTATATAGGAGAATTCGAGTGAAATGATTTTTAGTGATTGTGAGTTGTGACTATTCACCATAATTTTATTTGGTATATATGTAAACATATACAAAGTATGAATTTTCAATACTCGCATAATATCATATTAGGTATTTTACAGAAAAATTCACTTTATTATTCCCAGTTATTACTCACCTTATTATTTTAATCTCAATTATTAAATAATTGAAAATAATCCCAAGATTCCCAACTATAAGACTAGTCTTCTCAAAATAGTCTTAATTAGCTTTATATTTACAAGTTTAATAGGTAATTTGAGTGGCGTGTCAACTTCAAATTTATAAATTTTCTTTTTAATTTTGTGATCATCCTCCATCTTCCCAAATATTTCTAACTAACTCAGTAGCAACCATGTTTTTTTGCAACCATCACTTTTCACCATATTCACCTGCCAGCCAAGCTGCCACTAACTATGGCTGCCAAAGTCCACATACTCCCCAAAACAACCACCTTTCTTCACATCATCCTATTCTTCATGCCTTCTACCATTTTATATATCACAAAATTACAAGCGCTACAATAGTTTAGACACTAAACTATCCAAGACTCCGTTAAAAAAAAAAAAAGAACATCCAAGACCTTTTCCAATATCAAAATCAAATTAACCAAAGGAAAATTTGTTAGTTACTACCTTAAAAAGGGGCCTTTTGTGAATTACTATCCTAAAAAAATTGTTAATTACTACCCCTGAAATAGAGTAATTCAAGTAACTACTACCTTTTTTCTTAATGAAACTACTCTTTTTTTTTTTTTTTTTTTTTTTTTTTTTTTTTTTTTTTTTTTTTTTTTAAAAACCGCCGAACATTTAATTAATCAAGGGATAAAACATTCGATAGTACATAAGGATCAATCTCCATAGGGCAATGATTAATCTAAGTTTGTTCAACACCAAACGGGATTAATTTGCAAGATGATGCGCAACAAAGTTGCCCTCTCTCTTTACATGAGACCAAGCTAAACAATTCAAACTACTACTCAAAGAAAGGACATCATCTAGTACTCTATCAATATCTGAGAAGTAAACTGCAGCAGCGGACAATCTGTTGATGATGAGGGTCTGACAATCCGACTCCAAGATCACATCTTGGCAGCCATATATATTTCCTAGCAAGCCTTATCGCCATTAACATAGCCTTCCCTTCAGCAATCTCTGGTGGCCACCACGCACTAACTCTTCTCGTTGCAGCAAACAACACCGCTCCTTTGTCATCACGAGCAACAACCCCAAGTCCCACCCACCCTTCACTTGCTAAACTTGCATCAACATTAATTGTGACTATTCCTGCCTTCCTGGTGGTGGGGCAGACCACTTTGAGGGGTTCTTTTTAGCTCTAACAGGGCCTACTTGATAAATCACACTACTACAAAAATGAGGAAAGGGATCTATAACAAAAGACCCGTTAATTAATACAACGGGTCTCTTTAATATAAAAGATATGACACATAGTGATAACGAGTCTCTTATATATCATATGGCCCACCATTAATTTTGAAAAGATGGAGGGAAAAAATAAGAGACCCATGGTTTGACTTAACGAGTCTCTTATATATGTAAGGGCCCACCACTTTAGCAACTTTTTTTTTTCTTTGGGTTAACAGCAAAACCCTATCTCTTGTCATTTTCCATCACCACATCCCATATTCCCATTCACGCCGCTCTCTCCTCTTCTCTCCTCTCCTATCATCTTCTATTTCTCCTGGAGCAAAAACACGTTATTGCCATCTCCTTTTGAGCGTCGGTGTCGCTTCCTCCTCCTCCACAATGCCCGCGTCGTTTCCTCCTCCTCCTCGATGTCGGCGTTGCCTCCTCTTTCTACTTAACACCGCCGTCGTTGCTGCGCCTTATTTTATTTCATCACTGTCAATAAAGCCTAATTTAAGGCTTTCAAGATCAATTTTTACCATGAAATTTCAAATCTGGAGTTTTCTTGGTTAATTTGGCTAAATAACCAAAATTGAAGTGTTTAAAAAGGTAAAATTTCATTTCTATTTCATTTTAATAATTTTACAGGTTTTTTGCTGGGTGATTGAGTTTTATCTTAGTGATTTTGGGTTAAGGTTGAGTAGTTTTAAGATTTTTCCGTGGGTGGCTGGGTTCATTTACGGGTGGTGTTGGTGAATTTATATTTGAGATCTTTATACTTAGCTGAATTTGTTTATGTTTTTATTTTGAAATTTTTAGTTGTAGAATTTGACGAGATGTGGTGGAGCTTTGATTGAGTTGCCTCAATTTCATACTCCCAATGACTCCAAGCAGATGCTTTCAGGTTTTTTTTTTTTTTTTTATTATTTTCTTCTGATTTTTTTTTTACTTTCTTCAGAATTTTTTCATGTAAAAAAAATATAAATTCATTTTTTCATTAATTTCTGAGGGATTTTGGAGTTTTTGTGGTTTTTTTCACGAGTATTTAAGATGCGGCGATGAATTTAGTTTGAATTAATATAAAATTAAACTTATTGTATTGTTTATTAATTTGTATTTTTTTTATTTTAATTTTTTTTAGCTACTCGTATTTTTTTTTTTTGAAGGAAGGAAATTCATTTTGAGCTCTTATGAAGGATTAAATTTGGTCTTTTTCCTTAAAAAAAGGTAAGTTTCTTATGATGAATTTGGGTGAATTGTAGATGCAGTGTCGAGGTAAGAGGAAGCTTTGGAGATTAATCCTAAAAAATTGACACAGCGTGGTGTTTGGAAAATGCTCATACAACACATGCTTTTATGGTTCTTGACATTGATGAGGCTCGACCTTACTTTGAGAAGGCTGCTGACTTCTTTCAACAAGTTGTTGGTCTACTTGCAAAACACAAAACTCCCAAATACAGAGGTAGCAAATGGAGTACTGAAGTCGTCTTGAATTAATTGTAAATATGAATTTTAATAAATTCAACCAATTATTTGTTGGGATTTTATGTTCTAAGCTATGCCCCCAAGTTATTGAAAATCTAAGCTGTACCCATGTTTTTTCAAAGTTATAAGTTGTGCCCTCCACTTCACGGTATTTTATCAATAATACCCTTTGACAACCATATATGTTAACGAAAGCTAAGTTATTTTATGGACAATGGTGTCATGACGTTATTTATTTGACATGTGTTCTATTCTAATTGGTTTAACACTTTAAAAAAATTAAAAAATCAGAAAATAAAATAATAAAAAAGGTTATTGTTAACGTCAAAGGTTATTGTTAATAAAATTAATGAGGTTGTTTGAGATTCTTACTTGGGTTTCTTTCTCTTCTAAATTATCATGACACCATTGTCCATAAAACAACGGGTTGGGGTATGTTTGTGCTCCATTAATAATTTAGAAGAGAAAGAAACCCGTTGTTTGAGATATGGGGTATGTTTGTGCTCCATATACTCTTCCAAGAGTAGCTTATATTGTACCCCAAGTAAGAATCTAGAAAAGAACACTTAGGATAACATTTGACTTTCATCACCCTGCCAAGTAGTGAGTCCTCTCTATGCACTAATCTCCAAGATTGCTTCCCGAGGAGCGCATCATTGAAAACCTCCAAGTCACGAAAACCCATTCCCCCAAGGCACTTAGGTGTACACATGGTGTTCCAAGATTTCTAGTGTACCTTCTTTTTCGTTCTTTGTCACCCAACAAAAAAGAGCCATAGAGGACCCCATGAAATTTGTCACCGAGTGTGGGAACTTGTACACCCCTATTAAATAAGTCGGAATTGCTTGAATGACTAATTTAAGAAGAATCTCTTTCCCGGCTTGGGACAACAATCTTTCTTTCCAACCCTGCAATTTCTTCCATATTCTATCCATTATAGCACCAAAGACAACTTTTTTCGATCTCTCTGAATAGTAGGAATTCCTAAACACTTCTCACGTCTATCCACTTGACGCATGTTCAAAACACCCATCAGTTCGCTCCTTTGTCCGACACTCACTCCTTTACTAACGAAACCTTCGATTTTTAATAATTATTTTTTGACCAGATGCTACTTCATATTTGTTGAGTAAATCAACTATCACTTCGGTTCACCCTAGCAAAAAGAAAGCTATCATCTGCAAACAACATATGCGAAACTATAGGTGTAACACCCTCAAATCTCCCTCTACGGAAATACTAGTATAATACGTATAATTATACCGTAGAGATAGACTTAGGTGTATTACCGCCGCGTGATTACGCAAGGCTACTCAACTTACTAAAAATAACAATACTTTGCAGCGGAAATTTCAATAATCTTCTTTATTAATAATAACCATAATAGTAACCAATGTTATGAGTACTCAAAATAAATACAAGACCAAATTCCTATTTAGTGAAAACCAAATCCCGGGACTCCAATGCATCACTTTATTCACTTCACCTGAAACAACACTGCTTACCATTACGGTAAACAGGGCAAACCAAAACAAATAAGAAGCACGGGTTAGCAAATTAAAATATGCTAAGTACGGTAAGCGCAATATAATTAAACTCAATTTATTTGCAAACTTGCTTTTAAACCAATTTCCGAAAAAATTCCAAACTCATGGTTTAAAACCAATTCTCAATATTCCAATAACCAATAAAACCAATGCCAATTATTTAAAACCATTTCCTCATATTAAAACCAATTTCTCATAATAAACCAATAAAACCAGTAAAACCAATTCCTCTCCTAAGTGTGCACCCCCAAGCTATTCTCCTCATTTTACAAGGCTATTCTTAAGAAAAGACCCGGTCATGCAAAGTCCAAGGCCTTATCAATAAACCAAATCCGCATAGTGGGATTACTAACATGCTTATAAAGCATAATAATAAATCAATGATTTAATAAATCCTCTTTTAAATCCAATAATTCAACCTTTAATGAAAACAATCCAAACTCCTTTTCAATAAATCCAACTTGCTTTCAAAATCAATCCTTTTTAAACATGAATAATAAATTAATTAATCAAAACATGTTATAAAAATCAATACTCCAATTTAATTATTAAAACTAATCCTTTAAACATACTTTTAATTCATAAACCATAATTCAATTCAATCATAAAATCATTCAAACATGTTATTCAAATCGATCACTTTCAAGGTATCTAGCCACCTAACGTACCTTGATCTTCACTTAGCCAACAACACTTCAAAAGAACTCTCAAGTAGCTTGATCAAAAACACCCTACAAATAAATATAACCTTAATCAATATAAGGTTAACAAATAATCACAAATAATTAAATTAAACCCTCCCAACTATATGTACATGAACCTCTTAAATTAATTCAACATGAACATTATTAAAATCTGATTTTATATAATTAAAACTACTCATAATAATTTCATATTAATCTCCCATAATAATAATAATAATAATAATAATAATAATAATAATAATAATAATTGAATAAAAAAAAAGAGAAGAAAAGAATTGGATTTGCGTAGGAAATAATAGGCAGAACTTTCAGAGGCTATAACTCCTTTGATATAGCTCCGAATTGGGTGATTCTTGAGCCTAACCTCAATAATTTTTCAAGAGGAACAACTTTCTGTGAAATGTCACTACCCAAAAAACTAACCAGAAGTTCCCGAAAATTGGCTTCAAAGATGAACGGGATGATTTGTGTAAAATTGAGGAGAAGAAAAGAAGAGAATTGGTGTGAAGAATGTGAGAGGTATGAAGGGGTATTTATAGGCTAGTATGAGCATGAATTATGGTAGGAAAATGTAGGAAGAATTATGGTAATTAGGGTTTAAGAAATTACTTGGAGAAGTGAGTAAAGATGTAAGGAAAATTTTGATATTTGAAGGGATTGCGTATAATTGAATATGGAAGGTATGTATGTCATGAAAAATATTAAGGAAATTGAGATTGCTTGGGGAATAATTAAGAAGAATGAATGCCAAGAAAATATAATAATTGGATATAAAAAAGATGGAGAATTAGAATTATGGAAAGTAGGAGATTTTAGGGAGATAATTAAAAATATAAATTACCAAAATATTTTCCCAAAATCTTCATGGGATGGACGAAATTTTTGAGCTTTCCTAAGCTTATATTTTTGGCCCTCCTATTTAGTATTTAGGAATATATTTTGCTAGTTTTAAGGAATTAAAAATAATTGTGTAAATAATATTTATTGTAATAAATAATTAAATAATAAATACCAAATATTCACCAAATAATTTAACTAAATAAAAATCAGTTTTTCATAGGAAAATCCGAAATTATTAGCTAATTAATTGCGATTTTCGGACCTATTAAATAATAATAAAATATAACTTTTGCCTTAATTAAAATATTTGAAATATAAATAATCCGGTTTTTTAAATAGGATAAATGGATAATAAATTTTATCCAAAATAATGATTAGTTTTCAAAATACTTTTGGCGCCAAAATTCAAATATCATTTTGGCTCCAAGATTTAAATAGTAAGTTGAATTACTAAAATACCCTTTTTAGAAAATAATAATTAATTAGGAAAATACGTATGAAAATACGGGGTATTACAATAGGCCCACTCCTACTCGCCTTAGCTCCATGAATCTCTTTTCTCCTCGCTTTATTATGTTTCATGTTAGAGAAAGCATCCGCTACCAGAATAAACAAGTACGGGGATAAAGGGTCCCCCTGACGAAGCCCCCGTGAGGGGTTCACCGCACCACACACTCTCCCATTCACAATGAAGGAGTATGAGACAGTCGACACACATTCCATAATCAAATTCACCCAACGACCATCAAATCCCACAGTCAACAAAAGTTTTTGCAAAAAACCCCATTCCACCCGATCGTACGCTTTACTCATATCAAGCTTCAAGGGTATTGTTCCTTTTCTTCCTCGATTTCTCTTTTCAACGTATGAAAAATCTCAAGAGTAATAAGAGAATTATCAGTAATAAGTCATCCTGGTACAAAAGCACTTTGATTTTTCGTAACAACCCTAGGCAGAATATTTTTAAGTCTGATGATGATAGTCTTTGAAACCAATTTATATAATACATTACATAAGAGCAATGTTCGTCATGTTTACCCTGTTTGGAGACAAAGTACCATGAAGAATGTTACATACATAATTAGCAATATCGTCCCCAATGATGTGCCAAAATCTTTGATAAAATTTCGCATACATTCCATCCAGGCTCGGGGCCTTACATGGGTGCATTTGTTGGAGAGCTTGAAACACTTCGTCCTTTGAATATGACTCAAAAGTTCTGCATTATCTTTGTCAGAAATGCTCACACTAACATGTTCAAGATTCTCGTTCATACTCGAATGTTGATTATTAGAGGAAGTAAACATTGACGCATAGTAAACACTAACAATTTCGTCCAACTTTTCTTCATCCTCCTGCCATATCTAATTTTCATCAAAATCCCCTTTATTCTATTCTTCTTCTTCCTTTGTGATGCTTTATGGTGAAAGTAACTTGTATTTTGATCGCCGTCGCACACCTCTAAAACTCGAGATCTGAGATACCAATATGCTTCATGCTTATTGTGTAGGTCATCAAGGATTTTCTCCAACTCAGTACACTTGTCATAGCTTACTTGGGTAATCAATTTTAGATGCTCGATGCTCCTCCCTTAAGGCTAGCTCTGCCTTCTCAATTTGCTGCCCCAGATCATCAAATTTCTCTTTGCTCCAAGTCATCAACCTATTACCCATATATGATAGCTTCCCCACCACATCCAATCCTCCTGACATAGATCACGCATTTTTCACTTCGGCCTTACAATTCTCATCCAATAACCATGATGTCTCAAATTTAAAGCTCTTCCATTTTTTCTTTTTCTTCTTTGCTCTTTTAGTTGTTCGAACCACAATGGGGGTGTGATCCAAATTACATCTCAATAAATGCTCCACATGAGCCTTCGGGAATAAGTCACACAAGTCATAGAAGCAACAAATCGGTCTAACCTTTCCCTTACACACGAATTTACATCCTTCCCTTTCTCCTAAGTCTGCCATTGCCCTTCAAACCCCAAGTCCCGCAAAGCACAAGTGTCAAGCACTTCTCTGAAATTTGCAATTTCCCTTCTCTCTCTATCCACTCCCCCTGCCTTCTCTTCGTGTGATAATAATTCATTGAAATCACCCCAAAGATTATAG